GCTTTTTTCTTTTTGCTTATGTGGTGCTGAGGAATCAAACCCAGGGCCTCATGCATGCAAGGCAAGCGCTCTACCACTGAGCCACCTTCCCAGCCCTTTTTCCTTTTTTTAAAAAAATTATATTTAACCAGCCTGGCACCTGTGGCTCACGCCTTTCATCCCAGCTTCTCAGGAGATCTGAGGATGGAGGTTCAAAGCCAGCCTGGGAAGGAAAGTCCATGAGACTCTTATCTCCAGTAAACCACTAGAAAACTGGAAGTGATGCTGTAGCTCAAGCGGTAGAGCACTAGCCTTTGAGCTGAAGAGCTGAGGGACAGCACCCAAGCCCAGAGCTCAAGCCCCACGACTGACCAAAAAAACAAAAAAAAACATGATATCAATCAAACCCAGGGCCTTATACACACCAGGCAAGTTCTCTGTACCTAAGCTACACCCACAGCCCTAGCATGTGTGTGTGTGTGTGTGTGTGTGTGCACACGCGCGCGCACGCGCATGTGCATGCGAGCTGGTCCTGAGACTTGAACTCAGGGCCTGGATGCTGTCCTTGAGCTTTTGTGCTCAAGACTAGCACTCCACCATTTGCACTACAGTTCCATTTCTGGTTTTTTGGTTGTTAATTGGAGATAAGAGTCTCAAGGACTGTCCTTCCATGGACTGTCTTTGAACTGTGATCCTCAGATCTCAGCCTCTTGAATAGCTAGAATGACAGGCATGAGCACTGAAGTCCAGCCATCTCCCTCTTACTCAGCTGATAGAAGTCTTCCTTTTTAAACCTCCAACTAGTTGCACTGTTATTTGTTACTTCTCATTATTTATTGGTAAGTATATTAAATCATGATCAGAATATGATCTACAAATTTTATTGTTAAAATTTACTTTACCAGAGTCAGAATTCATTTTTAAGTACAAGTACATGTGAAAAAAAGTGTTTTTGTTGAGCAGTGGAAAGCAAACCCCTGGGATGCCTGCCCCTCGTCACCCTGCTTCTAGAAGACAGGTTCTACAGGCTCCTTGTGCATCAGTGCTGAAGGTTCCTCTCTGCTTCTTCCTCTGAGTTGTGCCCTTCCTCCATCCTCAGGTCTTACTGTGTAGCACAGGCTAGTCTCAAATTGGAGATCTTCCTTACCCAGCCTCCTGAGATTACAGGTGTACTCCACCATGCCTAGCTCATGGTCACCCTTTAAGAAATAATAGTAGGAGCCAGGCGCTGGTGGCTCACGCCTGTAATCCTAGCTACTCAGGAG